TCTGGAAAATTTAAGGGGTAGTTATATAATAATTTTGAACGATCTCGGGCGGTCAGATACTTATGACCGCTACTGTAAGTGGTGATTCTTACCAGGAAAATCTTTTTTAAAGATATATATAATGAACCGCTAAAGGACTAGCGAGGTGTATTAATTTTGAGGAACTTGAGAGAACTAAATCAGAGTATATAGTTAGCATTACTTAGACGAACCTCTTAACCAAAATTATACTTATCCTTGGTATTATCCACCCACTTCAATCGAAACTCTTTCCAATAGCTTTAATAATTTCTGGAACTGGTTTAGACGAAAATATCAAGCAGATACCTTTACCTTAAGAACTACCATTGCCTTTAATTTATTTGAACAACTTAGTGGTACCCCTGAATCTGAACATCATAATTCTCACCTAATAAGAATTATCTACCAACTTCTTTCTAGTATTTGATATCGTGTGCGACCTTTTTCAGCAAATGTTATATATTTGTATATACAAGGCATATCTTTTCGAACAAATTGTTTTTAACAACACGTTACTTTATCTATTTCTTTAAAGATATATACTGAAATCTTAAAACAAGACCTAGTAAGACCTATAGCAGATCGACGATTATTATAACAGCTTGTTGCTTCCTCAACACCTTCTGCATCTAGCTTAACAAACTCATCCCCTAACTCACCCCTAGTTAAATCTGAAATAATGGCTGCCTCAGGAACTGAAATAAGAGCCATCTTCCAAGATATTTTTGGAACTAATGAACAACACTCAACAGATATTAGTAAATGACTTCGACTAGCACAAAGAGGAGAAAGATCTACTATCAAAGTTGACTATTTTTCAGGAGCTGAAAATGAAGATCCTGTAGAGTGACTCACTGCATTTGAAAGAGCCGCCATTATCAACAGATGGACCAATAAAATACGAAAGAAAGCCCTTGCTAGAGGACACCTCAGAGGTGCAGCAGCTGACTGGTTTGATAGTGTTACTACTGCTATAGGAGACCATTGGAATACTGAAACGAATGGTAGCCAAAACTTTGTAAATTTATTCAAAGATTGTTTTATTAGTGAGACCAAGAAAAATCAATGATATCAGGAGTTAACTTTTCTACATCAACAAACAGATGAGTCTGTAGATTCTTATGCTAATAAATTCAAGAAATTAGTAATTTGTGTAGGATTAACTGATGATACATAAAAGAAAAGGATGTTCCATATAGGACTAAATCCTGCTTACACTCTACTAGTTTACTCACAAAATCCAGCTGATTTAGATGCTACTGTAAACTTTGCGCAAACTATCAAAATTGGATATAATTTCGCTTCTGGAAAAGCTTCTAAAATATTAGTATTACTACAGTCTCTACTCCTAAGAATGTGGTTACTAATGCTGAAGTAGATGAACTTACTAAAATATTGGAACAGCTATCTATTAATTATGCTAATCTAACGACTGCCTTATTAGCTCAACCTCAACAACCACCAAGGAGACTAACAGAGTGATCCTATAATGATACTAATAGAAGACCTAGACAAAATATGTCTTCCATGACTCATTACAATTGTAACAGGAAAGGCTACATAGCTAGATATTGCCTTCAACCTCGTTAACAACCAAGAGGAACTAATAGAAGACCTCGTTATGATAATACAAGAGACATACATCTTGTTGATCAATATTATGAGGAATATAATGATGAGGAATATACAGTCAAACCTCCCTAAATGCATCCCCTCAGTCTGAGCATAAGGGTGCATTTAGGGAGGATGTGCATTAAGAGAAAATGTATAATTTTACAAGTTTTTAATAATAAATTTATTTATTTTCATCATATTAACATATTAGACATTGGATTTATTACAAATTTTTTTAATAATCTAACTAAAATTAGTATCAATAAACGTAACTAAAAAAAATATTAAAAAATTAATAAAATTGCTCTAAAGTAGTTTGTTTCATCGAACTGCTTTTTATTTCTCTAATAAATCTTTCAAGATTATTTACAGACTTTAAATATTCTGTAGTACCTTCTTGCTGAAGTAAAAATGTACGAATATTTTCTAAACTTCTTGATGCTAAACTTATACTAACAAGTTCTATTTCAACACTATTATCATCTCTTTCATCTTCATCTAGATTTTCGTCAGGCCTTTATTTGAATATATCTACAAGTTCTGTAATAATATCATCCTCTTCAAGAACTTCATAGACAATATTTTCTTCAGAAAGAGTTAGAAACTTTTCTGCTTGCATACCATCTGAAAATTTAAGAACTTTAAGTGTATCAGAAAGTTCTTCAAGCAGTAAATCAGTTTCTTCTATATCTTCAACAATTTCATCATTTTCAATAACAGGAAGAATTTTGGTATGATGCCAGCAATTATAAATTGTTTCAGCCGTAACTTCATCCCAAGCTTGAATAGAATATCTAATTCCTTGTAAAATATCCATCTTCAAGTTTTGTACAGATTCACTAGCTTCAACCTGTTTCAACATCCATCGGATTTGATGATGATGATAATTTTTTTTAAATGCTATAATGATTCCAGCATCCATTGGTTGAATCTTAGATGTTGTATTTGGAGGCAAAAAATATACATCAATATTTTGAAGAACTAACCCTCCTATTTTGTAACTTGGACAATTATCTAAAAGTAGCAAAACACGTTGACCTCTATGCTTTCTGGAAATTTGTAAATTGAATTCTTGAAGCTACTCTTGGAAAAGAGTCAGTAGCATCCAAGCTTTGGAATTATATTGATAAACCATTGGTAAGTTATAAATATTAATATTTTTAAAACATTGTAGTTTTGCACTTTTTCTAATAATCAATGGTTTTAATTTATGTGATCCATCAGCATTTGAACACAAAGCAACAGAAATGCGCTCTTTATTCTTTTTACATCCAGAAAGACGTTTTGTAGCTAATGTTTAATGGCTCTAATCTGTAAAAAAGTCCAGTTTCATCTATATTATATATCCTCTCAAGAGGATAGGTTGCACATTTTTAATGTAATAATAGTAGGGCCTCAATAATAGCAGTATTATCAGCAAAATCAGCTTCTCCATAAAGTTTTTCCTGATGAATTCCATTACGATTTTTAAACTTATGAAGCCATCCAGAAGAAAATTGCAAAGTACCTTCTGGAATTCCCAATCCACTAGCAAGGTATTTGGCCTTTTCAATTATTATTGCATCACTCAATATAGTTCGGTGCTGGTAACATAGCACAAATTCTTTAAGTGCTAGCTCAAGTTCTAGATTGGTGACAGATCAGTGTTGTTTTGTTTCTGGATTGGTAATTTCAGTGGTAAGTCGTTTATCACTACTTTGTAAAATTCTTGTAATAATTGATTTATTAAATCTAACTTCCCATTTTTCTTCAATCCAATCTACATACTGTATTTGAGTTCTTTTATTATCATGAGCATAAAGACAGAACTCACGTTTTTGAGCATCGGTTAGAGTTTCTTTCTTAGGTGGCATATTATAATATATGAGACTTAGTAATGAGAATGTATATTTTGCTTGTGTATTTATATCTTTATGATAAGGCATTTAATATTCGCAAAATACACAAGTATTGTAAGACTTCTAACATCTGTAAAGTCCATAAATGATGCAAGGCTTCTAATATCCACAAATCCACAAGTGTTGCAAGACTTCTAACATCTGTAAAGTCCATAAGTACTATAAGGCTTCTAATATCTGCAAAGTTCATAAGCCGCAAAATCTACAATATCTAAAAGTGCGCAGTATCCGTAAGTTGTAGCAGTTGCAAATAGGCTATGTATCCAAAAATACGCAGTATCAAAATCATGTAGTGGCTGTGTATCCGTAATTAGTTTAATTTTAGGATATGCTAGAGGATTAAAAATTAATGTATGCAACAATATAAGGAATGTATTTTATAGTTCATTAAAATTTTATTTAAATAATATTAAGAATTTGAATGAATTCAAGACTTATTTATATTATACAATTATAAATGCACATAATATTAATTACTCTTAATATCCTTAAAAATAATATAAATGTTCTAATTATTCTATGATGCTGGAGATGCTAATCATCCTTAAAATGATACAATGATTTAGCTATTCTAATCATACTTAAAATGATATAATGATTTAATTATTCTACGATTCCATGATGATGGTGATAATTTCAGATTTCTTTTAGTGATGGTAATAGATCCAGTATTTCCTTTGGTGATGATGATAACGTCAGAGCTAATCATCTTTAAATGATAAGTTATTGTAATTACTGTAGTTACTTGATTTTTTTTAAACAAAATTTTTCTTTTACAGGACTTACCTCCGAACTTAAAGAATCCGTCTGATCTATGGTTCAAAGAATTTGATAACTACAAAAAAGTAAGTAATTGTAGTCAGTTGCTTGATTTTTTTTTTTAAAAAAATATTAAACATCTCTTTTCTTCAATAGGACTTATCTTCCGAATGATTCAATGCCCAAATTTACTGATTATTTTATTGTATAGTTATGTGATGTGCATTTAAAGAGTAAATTTATAATATGAATGAACCAGAAAACTCCTTGTACGTGCAGAACATGGAGGGTACATTTAGCATCTAAGTTTCAAGCTTGGAACCAGAACAAAGCATGCATTTAAAGAGGGTGTACATTTAAAGAGAATGCATTTAGGAAGGTTTGCTGTACTTCAAAAGAATATTATGAAGAAGATGAATATAAAGTCTATCTTAATACTAGGTCTGGACCTTACCTAAAGAATGCTGTGTCGAAAAATAAAAGAAGACCAGTAAAGTTTCAAAACCCACCTAAAATAACTGTTGAAAAACTAGACATGAAAGAATCAACACCAGAATCTGGATCGAATCAGTTAGAATTAAAAAAGCATTAAAAGCTCCTAAAAAAAGGTTGCTACCTGCTCCTATTGAATAACTAACAGAATTTAATGTCTAAACCTATTTGTAAAACTTATCATGCGGATTATCAGTAGGACAAGTTACACATGTTATTCCTAAATATCGTTCTGGTTTAGCTCAAGCTGTTAGACGCTTAAGAGAAAGAGCCACTGATGAAACTAAGGAAGCTAATCTAGTAGAAAGTGATGATGAACAAACCTCTGCCGCAAAATGTATTTTGAGGATTAGACAAAAAGCTCAGACTGCAATTATCGATAGTTGAGCTGCTACTAGCGTTATAATTAGAGCCTTAATGGAAAAATTGGGATATAAAATAAGTTAACTATTAAAAATGATAGTAGTAACAGTAAATAGTGTAAAGACTCGTTCCTTCAGAATTATCGACAATGTATCAATAAAGATTGGAAAAATTAATGTATCCATTTCCTTTCAAGTACTTGAATCTAGGGATGAAATCTTTATACTTGGAAACGATTGGCTTAGAATAACCAATGCTATTATGAGTTGGGAATAATCCATCCTTACTATTAAATGAGATAGAATTACCATAAAAATCCCCATTGCATTTACTAAAACAGCTAAAGTTGTGATTCAGAAAGCTGAAGACGAATACGAAAGCAAAGAATATGAGAACGAATATTTAGAAGAATATCCCATTTATTTATCTGACGATGTTGACTCGAAAGGATTAAAATTAGATGATGAGTTAGGATTCAACCCATGATCTGATCATTACTCTCCTATTCAATCTGAAGAGGATACTGATGATAATGAAGAATTAAATAAACAATCAGAAGACAACCCAGCTGCCTATCTTACTAAAATTGTAGGATATACTGCTAAAATTGACCCAACATATTTGGAGCAATTAGGATCACTGGATTATCACCAATAGCAGACTTTTATGAATCTTTTAGAAGAATATTATGATATTTGTGCAAGAAGTCAAGCAGAGATAAGATGAACACCAGAAATCAAACATCGTATCTATACTGGAACAGCTATGCTAATTGCTCAAAAACCATATCAGACTAACCCTGAAAATACCAGATTCTTGAACCAAGAGTTAAAGAAAATGGAAGATAATGGTATAATTCGACCCTTCTATATTCCATGGGCCTCACCTGTCATAATTGTAGAAAAGAAAGGAGGTGAAAAAAGATTATGTGTCAATTATCGAAAAGTTAATGCTGTCACAAAAATTGATGCGTATTCATCACCAAGAATTAATAACTTATTAGATTCACTAGGCAGAGCAAATTGGTTTACTATTCTCGACTTGACTAGCAGTTATTGGCAAGTAGTAATGCATCCAGATGATATTGAGAAAACTGCTTTTATTACAGCAAATTCATTATATGAATTCTTAGTCATGCCCTTTGGTTTAAATAATGCAACTGGAACTTTTTAAAGGCTTATAAATTGAGTTCTCAAAGACTTTCTTGAATTATTTGTATCAGTCTATCTTGATGATATAATCATCTATACAAAAGGACCTTTTGA